AACCCACCACCTTAGGTGTACGTGGCTGGCGCCTTAGCCGGTTGAGCTATAGGCGCCAAGCCCAGAATTGCTTTTCTAAAACAGAAGCAAAATTTCCTCATATTATACTTACTGGTATAAGAGTTACTGGTCTCTCAGTATATTAAAAAATCTTTTACCAGAGATCTGTCCCTTCTGGCTGAAAATGGATACTAGCTTCCATTACACCCGGTCAGTTCTGGTCTCTTGCATTCAATCACACAATGATACACATAAGAGTCACCTCTCACTGCTCCTGTGCACACAGATAAGGTTCAGGATGATGTCGCCCTATCCCAGGTGTCCGTGATTCTTCCATCTCAGTCCTTCCTGGTCCCAACCTGGGCCTCCACAGCCACCTCATCCGGTAGTCACAGGTGGACACAGAATAGCCTCACAAAGAAAGTTACAAAGTCAGGCCAGGCGCAGTGGCTCACGCCTGTAATCCCAGCGTTCTGGGAGCCCGAGGCAAGTGGATCGCTTGAGCTCACTACTTTGCGATCAACCTGAGCAGGAGTAAGAGCCGATCTCTACTAAAAATAGAAAACTAGCTGGGCCTGGTGGCGGGCCGCTGTAGTCCCAGCTACTCGGGAGGCTAAGGCAGGAGGATCGCTTGAGCTCAAGAGTTGGAGATTAATGGAAGGTAGGCTGAGTCAAACGCCATGGCCCTCGACCCAGGGCGACAGAGTCAAACTCTGTCTCAATTAATCAATAGAAAGTTATAAGGTTACTACGTGTATGACCTCTCCCCCCGCAAACGTGCGTAATCAGTTCCAAACGGCCACTTTACGCACCACATCACAATCACTGCACGAGTGGGCCAAGTTCACAGCGTGAACGCACGCGGGCGAGCCGCACTGCCATGCCCTCGAACTTTCTCAAAACCGTTTCACATGCAAACCGCCTCACAAATGTTCCATCCCCTCACCGTGGGTTTCACATCCAACCCTCTCCCTCTCGGCGGGAATTACCTTTGGACAAGTGTCGGCTTTCATAACAAAACACATCTCACACCACAACCTCATAAACGGAAACGGAGTCCAGATCCCTCCGCACCAGCCAACAGCGATTCTCTTTTAAGTTACCGCAAGTGGTGGTACCTTTGATCGGATCCGACAGCCACTGAGCTAGTTCCAATCCGTCCTCAGAGAAATCCAGAAACTGACCCAGGCAGGTTAGCACTGAGCCAGCCTGGAGTGAAACTGCGCAAGCGCAGTCCGAAGCCCGGCGGGAGCCTTATCAGCTGAGCGCCCAGCCCTCTCCCGCTCGGACTACGTTTCCCAGAGGACACCGCGGTCAAAGCTACTTCCGGTAGGAGCATCTGCTGTGGGACCGAGGCAGCTGAGAAGGCGGGGAGGGTTGGACGTCCTGGCCAGGAATCCGAATCAAAACTTGGACCGAAGCCCTTCCTGAGGATCTGAGGATGCGAGAGGTACCTGGATTCCCCAGAACCGTGTCTGTAGTTTTAGTCCTTGGGAAGGGCGGGTTGTGTTGTGAGCGCGTGAGAGAGACTGGAGTTTATCTTTGGGCTGTGTGCTACTGCGGCTAGATACGTGGTTGCGCTTCTGTGACAGTGTGGTTATGTGCGTGATCATTTGTGTGAATGGAGTATGTATGTGACTGTGACCATGCTTATGGGTGGCTATTTGTGTAAGACTCATTTATTTATATGACAGCAAAGCACATTTGCACAAACCGTTATACTCAGGCTCAGACGATCGAGCAGTTATGATACACTTGAATAGTCAGCTGTACATGTACACACACAACACATAGCCAAAAGCACATTGTCTATCCCATATTTGTCATCATCACAAGCCTCAGGAAAAGCCGTATGTATAGTATGCTTATGTATTTAATGCGCTTTGATGTTCTTTTCAAAGATTAGGCCACAATAGGCATTGCTTTGTAATTCTTTATTAAAAGATATTTAGGTCTTTTTGTCTGTATTCAAGGAATAACTTAGGAAGATTTCCCAGGAGGCTTGCAGGTGTGATTCTTCTTTAATTCTTACAGCGCTATGCTTCAAACTAAAGATTCCATAATTCGGTTCGGCGCCTGTGGCTCAAGTGGCTAGGGCGCCAGCCACATACACCTAAGGTGGCAGGTTCTAGTCCAGCCCGGGCCCGCCAAACAATGACGGCTGCAACCAAAAAATAGCCGGGCGTTGTGGCAGGTGCCTGTGTTCCCAGCTGCTTGGGAGGCTGAGGCAGGAGACTTGCTTGAGCCCAGGAGTTGGAGGCTGCTGTGAGCTGTGATGCCACAGCACTCTACCCAGGGGGACAGCTTGAGGCTCTGTCTCAAAAAAAAGACAAATCAAGATTCCATAATTCATTTTGGTCTGGAAAATTTTGTTCTGTTTATTTTCTTCCATCTGTGTTGTTTTAGCCTCTATTTTTGAAATTCCAGCTACACATATATTGGATCTTTCTATTTCTCTGAACTTTTCTTCTCATAATGTCTATTTTCATTCCTTTTTCCTCTTAATTCAGTGAGAGTTTGCTCAGGGCAGTTAATGAGCAGATTGGTCAGATCCACTTCATAATAGTATTGGAACACTGGGTTGGCCTAACTAAATCCTTTCTGCTGAAGAGCCTGAGTCTTGTTTTCTTGAATCTATCCTGCTATAGCTGGGTTCCTTCACGGTTTTGAGTAAAGCGGGGATTTGTCCAAAAATCCTCTAATCGTTTATATATGTGTGTATGGGGGCTGAGAGTAAAAGACATGAAGGGGGAAGAAGAATGTCATTCTAACTTAACATTTTTGGAGTTCAGAGGCAATCATCTCCTGTCTTTTTTTTTTTTATTCCCCTCCTCCCTCACCCAGCAACACCTTCTTTGGACTGAATTTCTTCTACAGAGGTATAAGGAAGAGGATTAATTAATAAGTTCAATTCTAAAATAAGCCATGGCCCATGTAAGTTGGTATTTATTTGTCCTAATTGAGGTAGTTCCTTTTTTTCTATAGGTCATATGAATATTTTCATTCTTTACCTTGACATTGTTACCTGCATGAGAATTATACAATAACCTCTAGTGAGTTAGTAAGTGATAGTGCCAAAAGTTCAGGGCCTTTGTTTTTTCTCCTCTCTTCTCCGTCCCGTGTTAATGAACTTGTTGACAGCATCATTCTTCATCTCCTTTATGCTAAATCCCCTGCCAGGAATAAAGAAAGAGCACAAACAGTATTCTTTTGAGGAAAATATTGTTTTTCTTGTTAGAACTTTGATTTGATGAGATGACATAACAAATAATTTATTGAGTACCTAATATGTGATAGCCATTTTTCTAGGTAACTAGGAATAAAGCAGTCAGGGAAAAATCACATACACACAGATCTTCACACGGGGAGCTTATCTTGTAGTAAGAGAGTCAGAAAATAACTTATGTAATATAAGCCTTAAGACATACACATAGAGGCTCGGCACATATAGCTCAGTGAGTAGGGCACCAGCCACATACACCAACGCTGGCGGGTTCAAGCCCAACCTGGCCTGCTAAACAATGACAACTGGAACCAAAAATATTGCTGGGCATTGTGGCTGGCACCTGTAGTCCCAGCTACTTGGGAGGCTGAGGCAAGAGAATCACTTGGGCCCAGGAGTTTGAGGTTGCTATGAGCTGTGACACCATGGCACTCTACCGAGGGTGACATAATGAGATTCTGTCTCAAAAAATGAATAAATAAATAAATAAATGACACACATAGATATACATGGAGCAAGTAAGTGAGCAAAAGAGAATTAACAAAATAATTACATGATAAGACTAAGACCAGACAGCAATTACATCTTATCAATAAATGCATATGGGCTTTAGCTCACCTATTAAAAGAAAAATATTGAATCACAAAGAAAACCCAACTCTCTGATCTATAAATCAGACAACTAGGTGATTCAGAAAGGTTAATAAAAGGATAGATAGATTATCCAGGCAAATAGAAATTAAAAGAAAACAGACAAAGTTTCAATCAAGTGTCCATTTCTAGGTCTAATTAAATAATCTATGATAAATACAAAAATGAAATGATATGTGCCTATATAAAAATAAAGAAGGCAGAAGCCATAGATATGGCAAGAGCTTTTTTTTTTTTGAGACAGTGTCTCATTATATCACCCTCGGTAGAGGGTTGTGGCATCAGAGCTTACAGCAACCTCAAACTCTTGGGCTTAAGCAATTCTCTTGCCTCAGCCTCCCAGGTAGCTGGGACTAACAGGTGCCCGCTATTTTTTTTTGTTGTCATTGTTGTTTAGCAGGCACGGGCCGGGTTCTAAATGGCTGGTTCCCTACCCACTGAGCTATGGGCACCACAGGCAAGAGCTTTTGAATAAGTGAAAAAAAGCAAACAACAGTATATGTATTATACTATATTGCCTTTTGTATAAAAGTATAAAAGACAATTTATATGTATTATAAAATTGCTTACCTGTGGGGGCAGGAGGTGAGAGACAAAATGGAAGGGATGGGGTGGGAACAAGACATCTGAATGTATACTTTTTTAGTTCTTAACTATTTAAGGCAGGAAAATAAAGTATGAAAACTTGTTATCGAGTTTGGTAATTTTCTCACAAGTTGGTAATATCCTCACAGGAAGTGTTGTCCTAGGGGATAAATGACTAGGTCACACATAGGAAATCTATGAACTTCACAGTTTGGGGGTTTTCAATTAGATGTGGTAGGAATTGGTGTTGGGGGATCTCTCTGGGTGGAGAGACTTTGTGGGGCTTTAGGATTAGGTAGGTAGAGATATGATTGGTGCTTGCATAGAAAAATTGAAGATCTTGTCAGAAAACAAATGACTACCAATTACAAACTCCAGTTTTACAAATTCAAGTTTTAGATTGAAAGAGTATGTTAGACTTAGCTCATGTCTGTACCAGTGTGGGTCATTCAACATCAGTGTTCTCTATCTTAGGAACTCAGGTATAGGGAGAGGTGATAGATGCTAACAGCAAAGATCTCTCACGTGTAATTGCAATCAATGGAATATGTACCTTTGAAAAGACTTCAGAGATTCTGTCTACCCTAGAAACTCAAGTTTAAAAGAGACTCCCTTATGGGTCGGAACCTGTAGTTCAGCCACTAGGGCACCAGCCACATACCTCGGGGCTGGCATGTTTGAACCCGGCTGAGAGCCTGCCAAACAACGACAACTGTAACAGAAAAATAGCCGGGCCTTGTGGTGAGCACCTGTCGTCCCAGCTACTTGGGAGGCTGAGGCAAGAGAATCGCTTAAGCCCAAGAGTTTGAGGTTGCTGTGAGCTGTGACACAACGGCACTCTACTAATGGCCACATAGTGAGACTGTGTCTCAAAAAAAAAAAAAAAGAGATTCTCTTATTATAAGATCAAATGTTATGCTACCAATAAGGAAAAAAAAGTTATAGTAACTATTGTTATATGACAGACTCCCCATGAATTTTGTAGATTAAAGCAACAGCACTCATGGTTTGGCTAAAAATCTGCAGTCTGAGCAGGGCTTAGGAGGGACAGCTTACCTTTGTTCCTTGTGGTATTAGCTGAGATGGCTTTACTATGTGCTAGATGATCTTATTTTCAAGCTAGTTCTCTCACATGGCTTGCAAACTGTTGCTGACAGTTGTTTGGGGGAGCTTTGGTTTCTTTCCTCATGAGCTATTCCATGGTCTGCTTAGGTTTCCTGGGAATATGGTGACTGGATTATAAGAATGAGCACCCAAGAAAGTAATGCAGAAGTAGGAGACATATTGTGATCTAGCCTTGAAAGTCACATAATCACTTCTATCATACACTATAGGTTGAATAAGTCACAAATGTCCTCTTACTTTTAAGAGAAGGGGGCACAGATTAAGGGGCATGTCAAGGTTACATGGAAGAAATGATTGGAGAAATTGCTGTGTCCATCTGTAGAAAAAGTCTGTTTCAGAATTTTTTTTTTGTAGGTTTTGGCCAGGGCCAGGTTTGAACCCACTGCCTCCGGTATATGGGGCTGGTGCCCTGCTCTTTGAGCCACAGGCGCCACCCTGTTTGGGATTTTTTTTTAAATTAGAGGCTCTGTTGCCCAGGCTACAGTGCAGTGGCCCAGTGATAGCTCACTGCAGCCTCAAACTCTTGGCCCCAAGCAATCCTCCTGCCTCAACTACCAGAGTAGTTGGGACTACAGATGTATACCACCATGGGTGGCTAATTTTTTTTCCACCTTTTTGTAGAGATAAGGTCTCACCATGTTCCCTAGGCTGGCCTTGAACTCCTAGCCTCAAGCTCCTTCCTTGGCCTCCTAAATACTAGAATTATAAGCATGAACCACCATCCCTGGTCTTTACCAGATGTTTACTAAAGAACTTGCATAAAAACTAAAAATGCTATGGCGTGATAGCTATAATGATGAAGAAAGATCTTCAAGGTTTTTTCCTCAAGGTGGAAATTTTTATAAGACACATTAGAAAAATTAAACAATTTTCAACTATTTAATGTAATTGGGAGCCACCCTTCTTTTCGTGAGACAGAGTCTCACTTTCTTACCTTTGGTAGAGTGGTGTTGTAGTTCACAGAGACCTCAAATTCATGGGCTCAAGTGATTCTTTTGCCTCAGCCTCCCAAGTAGCTGGGACTACAGGCGCCCACCACAACACCCAACTATTTTTTTTAGAGTTGGGCTCTCACTCTTGCTCAGGCTAGTCTTGAACTTGTGTGCTTACGCAATTCTAGGATTACAGGCATAAGCCACCGCACCTGGCCTTGAGCAACCATGCCTGCCCTCACTTATTTTCTTAATGTCTAGATGACTAACAGGGCTTTCCCACCCTATGCAAGAGGATGTGTGTGCACAAATTGAATTGTTTAAGAACATGTAGTCACTCTGCTTCAGGCACACTGAATTTTCTTTTGACCCATGTCACAGGCTTAGCGTGTATACTCACCCTTTCCTATAGTGACTTCTTTTACACTCTGTTTCATTTTAAAAAAATGTTTCTTATAATTTCAAAAATGGTACTGTGATTTATCATTTTAGGAGTTGGTATTATTCAGAGATGTGGCTATAGATGTCTCTCAGGAGGAATGGGAATGCCTGAACCCTGCGCAGAAGAACTTATACAAGGATGTGATGTTGGAGAACTATAGCAACTTGGTTTCACTTGGTAAAGTTATCTAACAATTCAGAACCTGAAAATTTAGGATACCTTTAACAATTCAGAATCTGCTTCTTGGAATTTCTTCTTTCTCCCCTATGAATTGTTGAGCTTGTTTTCAAATAACTAGATGAATATCTCTTTGTGTAGAAATGAGCACAGCTACATGGAGGTGCACTTTCATTTTCCCTATTCTTACAAGTTCTTCTCGTCCTTTTGTTGTTTTTTTTCCCTCACTCTCTCCCCTCCTTGTCCTAGGGTGTTGTAGCGTCATAGCTCACAGCAACCTCAAACTCTTGGGCTTAAGTGATTCTCTTGCCTCAGCCTCCCAAACCTCCTTGTCCTTTCTTATATTAACTGTCTTTCTTGATGTTTAGGGCAGAACTGAAATTCTGCAATGTTAAACCTTTAACATTGATGTGATGGGGAACTAAAATGTGACATGGAAAACTCTGTGCAGAATGTGGAATTTCATGCTCACACACAACAGAACAGAATAGAATTCCTTTTCACCTCTCTTCCCCATTCACTCCAGAGGAAGTCAACCCGGGGCTCAGTTAAGAGAGTGTCACAGGGACAACACCTGGGATGTATGGCATAGAGTGTGAAGGCCAGTTATTTTATTTTATTTTATTTTATTTTTGAGACGGAGCCTCAAGCTATCCCCCTGGAAAGAGTGCCATGGCATCACGCTCACAGCAACCTCCAACTCCTGGGCTCAAGCGAGTCTCCTGCCTCAGCCTCCCAAGTAGCTGGGAC